TATGGACCTAACAGAAGCAGAAGATATTAAGAAGAGGTGGCAAGAATACACAGAAGAACTATACAAAAAAGATCTTCATGACCCAGATAACCCTGATGGTGTGATTATTCACCTAGAGCTAGACATCCTGGAATGTGAAGTCAAGTGGACCTTAGGAAGCATCACTATGAACAAAGCTAGTGGAGGTGATGGAACTCCACTTGAGCTATTTCAAATCCTAAAAGATGATGCTGTGAAAGTGCTGCATTCAATATGCCAGCAAAATTTGAAAACTCAGCAGTGGCCACAGGACTGGAAAAGGTCAATTTTCATTCCAATCTCAAAGAAAGGCAATGCAAAGAATGCTCAAACTACCACACAATTGCACTCATCTCACACGCTAGTCAAGTAATGCTCAAAATTCTCCAAGCCAGGCTTCAGCAATATGTGAACTGTGAACTTCCAGATGTTCAAGCTTGTTTTAGAAAAGGCAGAGGAACCAGAGATCAAATTGCCAACATCTGCTGGATCATCAAAAAAGCATGACAGTTCCAGAAAAACATCTATTTCTGCTTAATAGACGAGGCCAAAGCCTTTGACTGTGTGGATCACATCAAACTGTGGAAAAAAGTAAAACTACCTCTAGTAAAAAGTAAAACTACCTCTAGTCAGACTACATAATCTAATATATAAATATATGTAATATATAAACACTAAATAGTCTACAAAAAACTACTATAACTAATAAATGAACTCAGCAAATACTCAGAATTCAAGATCAACACACAAACATTTGTATTTCTAACTACTAGCAATGAATAATAAAAATATTGAGAAAACAATTCCATTTAGAATAGAAGTAAAAACAAATACTCTATAAAGTTAATCAAGAAGGTGTATGACATATGAAAGGGATAGTACTTCAGGACCAGGTGTGAGAGGTCCTAGGAATGCAAGATAGGTTAAACACAACAAATCAATCAGTATAATCCACCCCTTAAATCCATTATTAAAAAGGTGTTAATGAGCAACTCACCTGAGACATGTTCATTCTCTGCTGCTACTGGGAGAATGCAGAGAACTGTGGAAGATACACTTAGGGTAAAGAAAAAAGGAACAGAGTCAGAAAAGGTCTGGTGAGCATCTGTAGTCACTTGCCAAATTTCATCACACTAGTTGGGGAAAAAGTCTCTCTATGGAAAATGTTCTGTTGATCTTTGAGAAGGGGCAGGAAACATGCTAGAGATAGCGCTCCCTGAATATGTACATCTCTGATATGATCACATGGATTTAACCCTGCTGTTTTTCACTGGGTGACTGTAAATTATTTTCCTATTGATTTAAAAAAATGTATGTCCCCTCAACTAATTAACAAAAAAGTTGAGCAGATTAGTATTAATACTTTAGTATTATCACTTACACCTTGAATTAGAAAATCAACAGAAAACTCTGAACAAAAATATAATAAAATCTTTTTGTTTTAATTAGTTGTAATTTCTTAAAAAGACTTTTGATAAGACTTTTAGTGACTTACCTGTGACAGAATGTATAGTACTGTGCCTTGAACAGCACTGTGCTTTTGCTCCTAGCTCTGTCCCGGGTGACCATGGGACATATATCTCAAGCTCAATATTTTATTTTAAAGTGTTAAGAATCAAAGTATAAATCATTTCCTGTATTATCATTTTGTGATTTTGTATGTTCAGGATAAAGGAAGCCTCAGTCTATCTCTAGATGCCACATGTCACGAACATGGTGTGAGAGTGGTTCAGAATCTGGAAAGGGTGAGGGAAGAATGAAGAAAGTAGGGGATTATTTAAGGACTAAAGGCAATTTCTTTGACTTTGGCTGTGGCTTTACCTATGTGGTCTACCAGTCACCGATCCCTTTCCACCCCCATTCATCACCTTCTGCGAGCTGACATGGGTCACAGTCTGTGATGGCTTCTGGATGTGGTGGCATCACCAAGTCTGGCTCTCTCTAGGCAAGGTGATTAAGACCTACTACTTGTGGAGCAATTCACACCCTGTTCCTTTCTGGGTTTTTCTGCATCTGTTCTTAAGCTCTAAGGAGGACGGTCTCTCTGAGGCGGGCTGTTCTTCCAGGTGGGACTTTGTGCCACAAAAGAGCTGCTTTCCAGAGGTGCTGAGACTTAGGCCTAAGAAAAAAATTCATTTTAGTTGAAACTTTCACAGAGAGCAGTGTTTTTGAGCTTCAGCACTAATGATGTTGTAGGCTGGATAATACTTTGTCATGGGGCGGGGGCAGGGAGGGGACTGTCCTGTGCATTGTAGGATGCCAAGCAGCATTTCTGCCCACCAGGTGCCAATAGCACTTTTCCTCCCAGTTGTGACAACCTGAAGTGTCTCTTGACATTTCAGAGGTCCTCTGGGGAGCAAACCCTGGATGGGAACCACTAGCGCAGGGACTTAAACTTGATTCTCCTGGAATTCACTGGAACTGTTCTATCCATTATGTAGCCACTAGCACATCCCACTATCCCACACTCTAAGTGTGGCTACTGCCACATGCTGAGGTAACATTTTTGATTACTGAGATAGACACAATAGGTTCTTAGAATTAATTTCATGTTTCTTTTTAGTTTTTAACGTGGCTACTAGACATGTGGCACACCTCTATTGGAGGAGACTACATTGGAATATTAGATTGCTTTCTGAAGACAGAGACAGCCTGGACACTGCAGAAGTTGCTAGGAACCTTAGTCTTAACCCAGAGGCTCTGGAGACAGTCAGAAATCACAGAAAAAACACTCCTGTCACAGACGGAGATTAAATTCACACTGACTTTACAATCACAATCCTGGGGATTTGAGGGCAAGTCACCCTGTTAGTGAAGTGATAGCTGCAACGCTGGGTGGGCAAGATATTAGCAATAGCCTGAATCTAGGAGTAAAGCATACCTTTCTTACATCCTAGCTTCCTCACTTTTGTGACCTCGGGTCTGTTATTCCACTGCTATGAGCCCATTTTCTCTTTTTTTAAATGATGAGTTATACCCACAAATAGGGTGGTTGTGAGGATTAAATACTAAATGAAAAGAATAGTGTCTCCTAAGTATGATGTGAACCAAATTTCTACGTCAGCTTATTAACTATTGCTTATTAGTGCTTATTACCTAGCACTTGACCGAATGCTTTACTGGTGAAAACTTATCTCTCTTACAACGCCACAAAACAGTTAATAATAACCTTATTATTAGATGAGAAACCTGACTCATGCCCAAGTAACAGCGAAGTAATTAACTTAAATCTTTTTGGCTCCAAAGCTTGGGATCTCAATGCAGACCCAAGGGTCGCGCGCTTCGTGGCTGGTTCACGGTCAGTATTGTAAAGGCGCACTCCCTTCCAGCTGCTGGCAAGGGGCTTTCCCAGGTCCGGCTGCATCAGTTCCCACACGCCTGCCTCACCGAGCGTTTCTGACCAGCACTCAGCCTTCCACCGCTAGCCCGGGGCCCGCCCCTATCTGCCTTTCCCAGGTTTACCCCCTGGACGGACTTGGAAAGACGCGGTGGGACTCCGTCCTTTGGGGCAGGAGAGGTTCCAGAGACGTGCTGTTCCTTGACCATGGGCACTTGCCCACCGTTCCAGGCCAGAGGCACAGACCTAAAACGCCCTCGCCTCAGGTGTAAACCCTCCGCGCCAGCGTCTCTGGAAAGAGCGGAAGTAGGAAAGAAGGACTGACGGCATCCGCCCATAGAAAAGCCCCGACATCCCTTCCCAGGATGCTGCGCGATAACCCATGAAGTTCACGACTACGTTTCCCATAAACACCGCAACCGCTCGTAAATTTTGGGGGGTGGGCGTGTGTATGGAGGGGTCGGGGTTAGGGAGCAATGAGATGTTAGGTAAGTCTGTACTGATAAAAGGCGCTCAGATTCTACCCAAACCCCGGAGGTTATGGATTAAACTCTGACACTGTAGCAAATCCAGTGTGTGGTCCTCGATCAAAGATTTCTCTTTGGAGAAATCAAGCTATTTGAAAAACAATTGTGGAAATTTGTATATGGACAGGATATTGGAAACATTAAGGAAAGTTACCATTACTTTTGTTAATTGTTATATAATATTGAGATTATATAGGTACTTTTTAAAAAGAAATGTATATTAAAGTACTTATCAAAGTATTATGTATTTGTAAGGCAAAATGGTTGTCTGAGGAGGCCTTACAAATAGCTGTGAAAAGAAGAGAAGCCAAAAGCAAAGGAGAAAAGAAAAGATATTCCCATTTGAATGCAGAGTTCCAAAGAATAGCAAGGAGAGATAGGAAAACCTTCCTCAGTGATCAATGCAAAGAAATAGAGGAAAACAATAGAATGGGAAAGACTAGATATTTCTTCAAGAAAATTAGAGATACCAAGGGAACATTTCATGCAAAGATGGGCACAATAAAGGACAGAAATGGTATGGACCTAACAGAAGCAGAAAATATTAAGAGGAGGTGGCAAGAATACACAGAAAAACTGTACAGAAAAGATCTTCATGACCCAGATAATCACGATGGTGTGATCACTCACCTAGAGCCAGACATCCTGGAATGTGAAGTCAAGTGG